ACTTCTCCTTTTCTTATTCTTAATTTTTCAAGTGTTATAATGTTTCTATTAAAATATGTATAACAACAACAAGAAAAAAAAATGTGGCTGGAAGACAAAAGTGTAAAAAAACCCAACTGAACACTTGGTTTAATTTCTTCATTCTTCTTCAGCAGCCAACTGCAATTTTCCTAATGTGGCACAGGGATAAAGATTATCCCAGAAATTCTAAGTGCACAAGGTAGATTATTTCACATGATAAAAGTTAATTTAGAAAATAAAAACAACAAACGAAAATCTTTTCAAATGTCAACCATAAAAATTTTCCCTTTGCTACCTACTTTCTGAAAATAAACCATTTGGGTTACACACACACCCACCAAACTCCTTAGCACAGGTCTGGTGGCCTAGACCAGATGTCTGAGGTCAAAAAAATGCTGCAAAGAGCAGAGCCTGTTTTGTTGTGTGTTCTTTTCCTATTAGTTTCCAACACAGAATTTGTTATTCCACTGCTATACACATGCAGTCAGACCTGCAGTCAGTAATTCAGAATATATCTTGCATCTGCCACTACTAGAGATTTTTCTCAGTCATCATTATTCACCTCACATTCTGTGATACTGTTTTCAATTTCTAATTTCTTACAGCTGAAACTGAAATATCAAAACCATGACATAGCTACAAAGATCTATTCATACTTGGGCGTCTTCAGGAAAAGACACACTGAAAAAAGACTATCATGGTATGGTAGTGAAGGGAGCCATACCAATTTTACTTTATTTAATTTATGTTCAAAAAACTTTTGGGACCAGAAGATAATGATCAATATCTCTTTATACTTGACATATGTGCTTCAATTATTCTTAATTCTTGGTTCAGATAGCACATTACTTGGAAGACAAGGGATGTTCTCCATACATATAGGACCAGTGAGGTTCATGGTGTAAAAAAACCCCAAAACCCCCAGAAACGAAGCACATAAAATATTACTGTGCTCAATATAGGGACTATTGGGTGAAAAGCTTAAAGGAAGTGACATATAGGAGGTCAAAAGCAGAAGATGTAGTTGTATTTTTCAACTACGTAACCCTCCTCTCTGAGGAGAGAAAGGAATGGTAATTCCTAGCAACTAAGCTTGCTTTTATGCACACTCTTAATAGACAGAATCTGTCCATTCCGAGTTTTTACATTTCTGGTTAACACCAAACTGGCCTAGATCACGGCTTTCTTGTGCTTAGTGATTAAAAACAGGATGCATCTTTGACCCAAGTAATTTCAAACATTTCAGAAGAAAGCACAAAAATAGGTTATGAAGACATTATGTGAATCTGTAAAGCTTTTCTTCAACCCTCTCAACATATGACTCTTATTTTAAAAACAACACAAAACAAAAAAAGCAACTCGGTGATCCAGTAAGATATTCCTGACTTGGGCACTCAAGAAAAAGTACAAGAGGTTAATTCTCTCTTTGCACTGTACGGATGTAAAACGTTGGGAGCCACGGCTCTGCAAACTGATAAAACCCAAAAGTGTTACTTGTGTCAGTTATGCTATAAAAGAGGTTATGGTCCTATCTATCAGATGACAGGGCGGTAACACCACAGTCGTAATTAGCATTGACTGACAACTCTGGCCCAAGCTCAAGGGATGTAAAAAATAAATGAGCATAATATATCAACTCCTTGCCACCCGCGTTCATATTTCTACCAGGATTATTGGTAGGACGCTAAACTACACCTAATTTGAGAGTGAAAGCCTTTGCCTGTGAAGATGCTAGTGTTTCATTTCCAGTGTACCTGGTGCTCATGAGGGAAAATTAACCAGGCGAGAGTAACTCTTTTCTATACAAAAAGACACAGATCCAAATATTTAAAATACTAATCCATTTTTTGGTAAATTTTATCAGACATATGAATGTAGGATTGCTGCATGATTAAATCAAATATAAATAAGAACATGAAAAAGTTCTTTCAAAGCATTTTACACATACACATATGTATTTAGCAAACTTACAGTTGTTAACTCATTTAAGAAATGAAAGAGTGACAGATTTTATAAAATTTGACAGTCAGCTTTAACTAGATAACACCCCACACAATGAAGTGAGGCATACAGTTAACAGCACAAACAAGAGACCGAGAAGTACGTAAGCCAAGACTAATGGGAGCGGCACCTCGGAGCACGCAGCTCCGCCGTGGCTGTCCCGGAAAACGCTTTGGGACCCGCTGAGCACTTCCAATTCGGACACCAGCAAGGAGCGTCCCAGCAGTTACCTGCTCCAGTAACCCCCCCGACCAACCTCTCTACCCAAATATCTGAAAGAAAGCAAGAATGAAACCTGCAAGGAGCAAACAAAAACAGCTATTGCTTTCCAATCCAAAACTAAACATATAAACTAATTCTGCTACATGAAATTTTAAGATCATTATCTGTACTTTCAAAGGGAATATAAAGTTAAGTTAATCCACATAGCTGTGTACCGAGCTCAGTTTGTGTAGGAACTGCCTGCCTGATACGTGCACGTACTGTGAAACAATTTTACTTTCAAAAGAAAATGCAGTGGGTTGCATTCTCTCAGATATTTGTCCTTTATATTTCACTACAGCTTCAAAAATTTCTTTTAGCATATTTCTTCCCTTTTTTCAAATATTCCAATTTCTTTCCCTTTTACCCTCTGATTTTTTATTTACTTATCCCTTCTCCTAACTCTTCCAAAATTTCTCATTCTTCAGTGCTTCTCATTTTTATCTTTTGCTTATTATTCCTCATCTATCCTTTAACTTCTCCTGAAAGAAAGATCAGTACCAGGGCATACTGCACCTAAGCACTCCCATCACCTTCCGAGAAAATGAGATAACCTTTAATCCGTATCTCATACAGAAATCCCTGTTTTCTAGCGAGTAACTGCTATACATCTGATCCATCCATTCTGCCATTTGCTACGGAAAGATTTAGAAAAGAATCCATTCACCTACAAACTCTACTGGTGCCCTAATTATTAAATATAATATTTACTATATTAATTGCATAAATATTTAAATGTTTGTTTCGTGGTTATAAAATTATGAATACTTTTCCCTCTCTTCCTGCTTCCTCTGCCTCCTGTTCAAATCAGCTCTAATCAAATTTAAAGTGGGAAATACTGCTCTGCTGCATATGGGAGCATATTTATACATTCTATTTCCATAATAATTTCATTTAGTTTTTCAGGCAGAAGCAGCTTTTCCTGACTTTCCGCATCAAACCTTAATGCCTATTCACCACAAGATAAGAAAATGTTATTACGCCATAACTAGCTCAAGCACCAACATATACTTATCCCAACAGATACAATCTGAGCATTAACAAAACAGGTTATTACCCTATTTATTAAAAACTTATGACGTGTCCACTCCTGCACCAAACACAAACCATGTGAGAAAAGAACAGCAATAAAAAGGAGGGAGAATATCAAAATTCAAGTTCTTGGAATCTCACACGTATTTAACATTTGCTTGCTTTTCTATCACTTTATCCGTTACCTATTTAATTTCTCTCAGTCTAGAAAGGAAAAATCACATGCTGAAATTATTCAGACACCTAGCAGTTATGAATTTGATCTTACAGTGAAAACTACAAGGTTGATGTAAAGTCCCAAATACATAAAAATTCAGATGGATGAAATAATTATGCTAACAGATTGCATGAAGTTTGAGGATCTGCAATACTTTCTGCAAGGACGGGAAACATACATTTTTCCTCTAAATTATGTTCTTTTCATTTGGCAAGAACATATGCCCACTGCCTCCCCCCAAATTTTTCTTATCTAGTACTATGAAACTGAAACTAAAACAATTTTATTTATCAACCACAGGCAACAATGCTTCCTGGAACACCCTGAAGTCAAGCAGTAACACCGAAAATATCACAGAAGCTGGCAGTACAGACCAAATACGTGTCGATCCTGTTTAAATGCAATCCTACCAAAAATAACAAGTGTTTGAATTTTATTTAATCATAAATAGCATCATTGTATGAGAGGGAATGTATTCTGAGTGGTCACTGCACTGAGTTAGGAAGGTTCAGTTCTATTCCTACTGCAAACCCTCAAGTGTTTGTCTCTCCATTTCCACTTCTGCATTTTGTTCATCTTTTCTGCTTTGGTTGGAAGAGTTTGCTGTCTTAATTCTGTTCCATAAAGGCCTTCTAATCTCAATTGAATCTCTACACATAGCTAAAGGAAGAGGAATTCTAGGATTAATACTAATTACACCTGCTGAGGTTTGTTTTGATGCAACACTAGCAGTTTACCTTTCAAATTTGGAGACCACAATCTCACAATGTTTTCTAAGTAAAATACACACACTGCTAAAACTGAAACGTTTTAAGACAAAACACAAAACACATAAACAAGTAAGAGGAAAAAGATGGCAGGCATCACAGTAAGGCCGGGAGCTGAGCTATGTCCTGGAACTATGCTTCAACTGAAGATTTTCTTTACGTTGCCTTTAATTGATACCTGTATCCCAGTTCCACGCTTTTTCAAAAATAGAAGCTTCTACTAGTTACTATTTTCTGTTCACTGCAAACTGTCATTATGAATTAGCGTGCCCCCTTAATTTTTGTTTTAAGCTAAGCATTACATGAAGCTCAACCACAAGTACCTGAGCGCAGCTGTACAAAACTTTGGGACAAGTAGACCTTTTAACTACGTGGGACCTCAAACCTCCCACAGCCGTCCAGCAATACTGCGTCTTTGCTACCTGACATTTTCTGCTTCATTTTTCTCCTCCCAAACATACAGATGTGTAAAAACATTAAGTAGTTGCTCATACATTCATCAAATCCCTATTAATTAAAAGAGATCAGGCTATTGAAGTAAAGCTTAATTTTCTGCTTTTACAGCTAGCAAGCATTAGCACCTCTAAACGAGGAAAGTAACAGGAGACTTCAGCCATGTGACAGATGCACGCCCCTTTCTCTCCTCTTCAGAAAACGTTTTTACCATTCAAAAATACCAGAATCATAACACAGCGACTTACTTGGGTTGGAACGAGTACTGGAGGATACGCTAGCTTGTGATGTCTGTACATCCAAAACGAAAAAAGCACAATCACTGCAATTCCCATTATAGGCACCAATGAATAAAGCAAGGTATTGAACAGAGGTGGCTTAGGTGTAACAGGATTGGAAGTTGCTGAAGAAAAAAAAAAAAAGGATACAACTTTTAAGAAACAAAAATCATCCAGAGTTTGAAATGTCTAGCATCCTGATTTTCTAAAAATTCTTGCCGTCAGCACAAGAGGCTAACAATACTTGATTAAATAGCATACTCTACTATAAACAGACACATACTTAAAAAGGAGCATTTTGGAAAGCACAAAAATAACTTTGATCCCCGGATTTACACATCAGCACATCTAACTTTTTTGTGCCTCTAAGTTCTGGCTATCTATAGTGTGTAAGAGTTGTTTGTATTTTAAAAAGACTGCCAAGAGTGCCATCATCTAATGAGTGAAAAAAGAACAAATACAGAGGTTTAGTCTTTAGTTATGACATCTTACGATTTAGACCAAGTAGAACAGGCCAGATATAATCTGCCAACGTTTCTATGCACTGTTGATTTGCTGAAATGAAAAGCTCTCTAGCTGAAGCCACTTCTGTAGGACCTCCAGAAAGGCTCCAGAAAAGCCCAGCTTCAGGGGCAGCTGGTGCAGGAGCAGCCACAGACCCCCAGGGCAAAAGGAGTTTCATGGGAGTGCAGAATGTCAGTTATTGACTTAGCAGTATCACTGACAACAGTGACAAGAATATCTGTTGGGTCAAAGGCTATTTTAATCTCATAGAAAATGTTATTTAATTTCATAAACAACTTCCTCTGGCTATTTGGTACACAAGACATTTGCTGTTTTCAGTTGTTATTGACATTATTCAGTTTTCCAACAAAGATTAGATTCTTGACTGCAAGAAGATACGCAAGAATAATCAAATAATCTTTTTGTTATTGTTTTTTAAAAACAATTGTTTGTTAAGTCTGGCTATCTGATTTTCTTTGTAACCTGGGACGAAATTCTTTCCCCCTTTTCAAAGGTTACTGTGTCAATTTACAGAGAAACTCAAAGGTCCAATTAGTTTAAGGAATTAGCGAGAGCACTGTCTCAAGAAGAGGAGCATTCAGAGGCTGGTACATGTATATAAGGATGATACGGCTTTCGGCCCAGTGATTTATAGACACTTACAGAAGCTTAACTATACAATTAAGGTAAGATTTGACAGTAACTTCTGTATCTTAAAACAGCCAATTATTTCAGATTATCCTTCCTTCTCACCCTTAGAAAAGAGCTGAAGTACCTTTTATCGATTTAAATTACTCCTAGTATAAAGACCTTTCAAAATTGAAGGAATGAACTGGCAATTTCCTAGGCTCTTTATGTGAACGCACACAGCACTGTCATCCAGGAATCAGAAACCTTCTAGTAGGAAAAACTAGTGTTGAAAAAAGTCTTATCTCCTGAACATCAGCACTGTCATCCAGGAATCAGAAACCTTCTAGCAGGAAAAACTGACCACATCGTGTTGAAAAAAGTCTTATCTCCTGAACACGCACAATATTAAATATTTCTGAACTCTGCTAAGCAGTTCCTTCATAAATGTGTTAGGCTAACTTACGTTGCGTGACCTCCATTTCTGGAAAATAGAAAAAGCGTTCATTACACATGTTGCCTTCACAACAACAGAAAAACACTTCAGGGCTGTCTTTCTTCTCTATGCAATCATTCCTATAAAATATAATAAAGAAAAAATTATTGAGCTTAAGTCGGGATTTTTTTGTTCAAGAGAAAACATAATTATATACTTAAAATGTAAATTGAACTTCATTAAATCATCCAGGATAACATACGACCCAAATACGAGTTAAACTAAGGTTTTGTTCATTATTTTATATTGCAATGAAATATCTTTAATTTTAAAACTGAAACAGTGGGGGTTTTGCTATTTTTAAGACAAAGTTAAAGAAAACCACCAACAGGATGCATGTCAAAATCTGACAAAAATCTGAAGAAGAGTTCACGATCTAGATTTAAACAGGACGAACAGTCGATAAAATGGCTAGCGCTTAACCAGAAACTCACAGTAGAGGGTTGCATGGGTTGGCGGTAAGTGGGAAGGAGAATTTTTAATTTATTTTTTTTTTTAAAAAGAAAATTTGTGCTATTTCCCCTGTCTACTTTATGCTCATGGACAGGGTTTATTTCACTCAATGAATTAACTGCAGGAAAGGGGTTCTTTTAACAGAAAAGCTGAAACTATTCAAGTAAGGAGAGAAAAATAAGAGTCATGCAGGAGACAACTTGACAGCAGAAAGAGAAGAACTTGAAAATCCTGCAGAAATAGTTGAGGATTTTAAATACAGCTGAAGAATGTCAAAAGTGTTGGGTTCATCTTCAAAAATCAGGTTATTTTATAGAACCAGCTATTACAATTACACTGCACTATAACTTCCATAAAACACCTATTCTTTGGTGCTCTTAATCTGCTGTGGTTTGGAGTTCATCATACTGTAACTGCCTGTTTAGTAAACTGCTCCTCACTCCCAGAGATAAGATTTTGTTCAATGGATATTTTAGGCAAACACGGCAGCATGCATTCTTATGAGAAGTTACAGTTAATGAGGTCTTACGAGCCAGACAAACTTTTACTCAGTTTTCAACTATTCCCTTAATGTCCTTCCTGCATTTAATTTCTTCTTCCAATTTCTTTTTTTTGCTCAAGGGAAAATTTAATACCAGTTTTTTTTTTAGCCTGCTCAAAGATACATGTGTAACTAGACGGAACTACAGAACCCAAATCTATTTCAAAATCAAAAAATTCTATTTCCATCCTAGAAGTTTAACATTTTGCAGATATAAACTTAGTTCAGAAATCATAAATACCCCCACTCCTTCTGGAAAGCAACACCTAAGACTGGATTAAAAAAAAAAAAAACAAAAAACAACCAAACCAAAATGAAACCAAACCCAAGAAAATCCCCAAAGTACTGTCCCATCCTGAGTGATTTACAATTACTAGATACTAGTAGTAACAATATATTTCATTAAAATCCTTCTTCGCCTTCTAGCACAACTGAATTTCAAGTCATGCTGTGCAAGCAAGCTTGCAGATGCTTTGCTACTTCTCTGAGAAACAGATAAATCAGAACTACTGTTCAACTTGGCTTTAAACTGTCATTAAAGGAGAAAACATCCTAGGGGGGAGGGAACTTTATTTAGTAGAAATGACTATAAATGTTGAATGAGTAGAAGAAATCATTAAGAAAGACAAAAGGAAAATTTTTTGAAGTATTGCTAAAAATAACTTCTAGATACATTTTAATGAAGAACTATTATGCATTTATTTTCTTAATCATCTCTTTTCCAAAACAGAACTATTTTTGTCACATAAAACTTAGTTCAGTATTCAAAGAACTGTAATACCATTTCTTAAGAGAGTCATGACCTTTATTCAGCCAGTATCTAACAAAACCCAAGCCCTGCTGTTACTGCTCACGAGTACTTGCTAGACCATCTGTTATAAAAAAATGACTGGAAGTTTAGAATATTCAATGTTTCTTAGAGCTGCCACTGAGGTGAGTTTTTCAATAAATCGGCAAAATACTTCTACATTTAACTGAAGAACAGACACAATGTGCTGACCTTCCTACTCCAAAGACTTTGGAAAAGCGAATTACAGAATTTTGCATTCTGGTTTCAATAACCATATTGTTTAGCAATAACAAGTCATTAGAAAATCTATTATTAATGGTCTAAAAAAGAATAAATTAAACAATTTTTTTTAATATATAGTAAGTAAATAAAAGAAGGTAAAATAACAAAAGACAAAGTACTTGGATGAAGTCAGGTCCCTAAATACAGGTGTGTGAGCAAAAAATCCACGTATATGTGTGCGTGCACATCTAAAACCAAGATCACTATTCATAGACTACTGTATTATCACTTGTCTCAAGTACTGTTTGCAAAGGGGAGGCTGTATAAATTATGGACAGGCGAAGTAGTTTAAAGTTCAAAAGAATTTAAAATTTGTTAGAAAACTCACTTACCTGTCATAACAATTGATGTCATCTAGCCAGCAACCTTGCTTCACAATTTCAATTGATCCAGAAATATTCTTCCATGTAGCAAAACAGTGTCGTCTTTTATCTTTATCACCATAACAAGGTTCAATACCACTCCGATTTGTTTTATCTTTTTCCCAATTAGCGTTGTAGTAGATACACTCTTGTGTTTCTGATCTGCCAAGTATGGCACCTTTTAGGAATGAAAAGTAAACCACAATTAAATGGCATTCTGAAGGATGACACATATAAAGTCAAAACCAGGATGTACTAAAATATCATAACACCACGTGCATGAATATACCCCCTCTCCTCCTTTTTTAATAAAGAAAGAAAACATTTAAAGTTCACTAGCATTCCAAGTAAGCATTGAAACATAAAACAAAGATCTTCTGTTAAGTCAAACAGTGATTGGGATAACTTACCAAGATTTGAAGAAATAAAAAACCATTTATGACAATACTTCTCCCTGAATAGCAATAGCAGGGAACAGTAAAGATTTGGTTATAATATTAGCCAAACAAGAAGTTTTAGCTAGTAGAATTTAGCAAAAGGCATTTTCATCTCTTACGTTGTTAAACGTGTGTGCTGGTTTTGGCTGGTATAGAGTTAATTTTCTTCACAGTAGCTAAGATGGGGCTATGTTTTGGATTTGTGCTGAAGACAGTGCTGATAACACAGGGATGTTTTTGCTCCTGCTGAGCAGGGCTTACAGAAGGAGCTGGGAGGGGACACGGCCAGAACAGCTGACCCCAACTGACCCCAGTGATATCCCACACCGTACGGCGTCATGCTCAGCAGAAGAAGGAGGTGGGGACGTTGGGAGCGATGGCGTTTGTCTTCCCAAGTCACCGTTACAGTGCGATGGAGCTCTACTGTCCTGGGGATGGCTGAGCACCTGCCTGCCCATGGGAAGCAGGGAATTAATTCCTTGTTTTGCTTTCCCTATTAAACTGTCTTTACCTCAACCTACGAGTTTCTCACTTTTACCCTTCCCATTCTCTCCCCATCCTGCGGGGGGAAGGTGAGTGAGCGGCTGGGGGCGGGGGGGCTCAGTTGCCAGCTGGGGTTAAACCACAACGTGCCAAAATGGCAGACTGTACATGTTAGAAACGTAAACCCAACTAGTAAATTCAGTTTTAAACCATCAACATCTCTTCCCCTAGCTTTCATCTGCAACATAGCTTCTTAACACAAAGCACTGAAGTATAAGCCACACTATGCTAAACCAGTGTATTTTATGTCATTCTGATTTGCCAAGCGAGCAACTGGAATTGAGACCAAGAGGTGTGAGGCAACGGTTCCTAATCAACAAGGGTAGTTGCTGGTATTTTGCTGGCTGATCCCACCCAGTCAACCAGCTGCAACGTAGAAGATCACAGGTCTTCTTCATAACTCAAGAACCACGTGCTTCCACTCTCAGAGCACCCAGGGACACGTCTCCCCTTCCCACATCACGTGCCCAACATATGCAGTGGGATCAACCACAACGGCTGACGTGCAGGCTTTGGGCAATAAAAGCCAAGTGGTGTCTGGAGGCCAAAGCACTGATTCAGTCAGTATTAAATGTGCTGTGGACCCTAACGGACTATCAGTCTGGCTTAACCTACCCTGATAGCATGCCATTATTTTTTTTTTTGTCATTCCAGTATTCTTAAAAAGAAAAGTTTCTGAGCTTTTGACTTTCACTGTGTCTTTTAAGTAACAAATGTAATTGATTCATCAATGCCTACTGACAACCTACAGCAAAACCCAGCAAATGTTAAGACTGAGGCACCTCTAAGTGGAGCTAACTTCACAGTCTTAATGTGGTATGAACAACTAATCTGGCTTCTACAAAGGTAAAAAGGTTGTTAGGATGCAAAACCATTAACAAAATACTAGAAGGGAGTAATAACCAGCTTTTACTCCTGTTTTTATCTTGTCAAATACTGCCAAGAGCATGTCATTAATCTTCATCATTTAATGTGGATTAAAAATGTGGAAAAACAGGGGAAGAAAGAAGAGCTAAAGAGTCAGAGGACCCGTTTCAGAATTGAGGAAGGGTCAGGATGATGTTTACTCTGCCTGTGCACCCATTTGATATTTTCAAGAGAGACAGGTACATTAGACATCATGCTGAAGATCAGATTTAAACAGAAAAGGTCTTCCATAGCAGTTTCATACATATTTATTTTATCACTCATCACCTCCTTTATTCCCATATATTCACAATAATTTTGATACACTAGCTATTGCCTTGTAGCCATACCCATACCTCCCATTCTCCCACTCCAGGGTATAACAAGCAGAGCAGCCATCACCCTGACTTCTTTGCTGGGGTGAAATCTTTGCCACCCGGGCACTTGACCTTCTGCAGTGGTAGGAGGTGGGGGTCGGGGTGACCAGTACACTGGTGGAGGCTTCCATCACATAACACCTCCTCAAGCACACACAACCAACAGTAAGGCAATCTTGCTCAGTAAGCAGACCTGACAAATTGCACCTCTCAGGGTGATGAGAATTATTTCAAAATGAAAATTGCTGCAGCCCTCTTCAAGTGCAGCACAGGACGTCAGTCGAGTGCAGCGCTGACCATACTAGGCATCCCACATTACCACCTTTAGAAACTTTTGACTTTGACGCATTCCAAAAATAGGCAGAGGATGCTGCTTACGCTTTTTGGGAAAGAGCCTGGATGTTCAATGGGAGAAATGCACTAGCCAGCTGGTAACACTGCGAGATGCAGCATGTTAACTATTATATTCTTTGTGCTGCGATGGCCTGACCTTTACAACTCCCAGCTATGGCAAGAAACAGATGAGGCAACAGATTGAACAATTTGGTTCTGTCAGTGCAATAAAGCAGAAGTCCTGGATTTATCTCATACGTGCCATTCCTTTTCTTCTGCTGCCAAGCCTAGCTTTGAAGGACCATAGACAAGCTGAATTTGATAAAATACAGTAAAATTAACTTTGCACAAGTATTTTCCTTACACGTCTTCTTTATAGTCAGCGTTTCTTACCCATTAATGCTCTGAATCAGTTCAACCTATCCAAGCAGCCAGCAATCATAGTGTTGGTTTAATGACTTTAGATCTGACTGGAACATCTAACCGCAATACCTTCTCTAGGGGCAGAGCAGACATTTGCAATAGGTCTGGCCAGACTAAACTGATGTATGGACGTACCAGCACAATCTTGGCTTAACCTTTCAAATTAGGAAAGCAGAAACATGGTGAAGCAAGGGAAGAGGAGAAGGGGAACCACACGACGGTGGCAGCCCTGAGCCCATTGCACAAAGGAAGCATCTGCTTATCACCGGTTTTGTCACCTCCTCCACAGGAATCAAACTCTTAAGGAAGGGCAGCTGGCATTTACAACAAAAGCAAGTGTATTTGGGTCCCAGTTTAGGCATAGTATGTCTATAACAACTCCTAACCCATTTTGAGTGCTGACAAATTGCTTTCAAATGAAATTGTCAGGTCTTTGGGAAATCTATTACTGAGTCTCAAAAGGCAAAATGCTGCCGTTGAAAGAAGCCGTGAGCAAAGCACCACCAGTCATATGGACTGAACTTAAGTCTGAAAGCTTCCGAGAAGAAAACACAATGAAAAACCAAAGCGTATTCAAGTATGTAATAGAGTTTAGTTTCGGCATGTTAAGACAGATCACATTTAATATATGCTGTTATCGCATTGCGGCTGTGTGCTGCTGTATCACTATACGTTTGCGTTCATCCACAACAGCTGCAGTAAGAAAAGAAAACCACCATTTGCTAGTGAACTTCTGAACTGCTGTTAATACAGGATACACTGTAATTGTTAGCAGTACAGAAAGCAATTTTATTAGACTGTACATGTGCAGTCTGGAAAACCTCACCTTAGTAGGAATCTGAACTACTGGCTACCACTTTTTCAAGCAGAAAGACTACATGAATGCCTGGGGAAAAAAAAAAGAATTCTAGCCAGTGTTTTTAATTAAAAAAAGGGGCTAACACTGAAATTTATGCCTAGGTAACAAGAAGGACTATACTAACATAGCCTTAATTTAGAAAGGGATTACTGGAAAAAGATTCTGGATGAAATATGAATTCCCTATTACAGATACCACTACATTACACCCAGAGGGAAAAAAAAAAAAAAAAAAAAAAAAGAGATACACCAGCTTCTGGGAGTTTGTCATATAGCTTTATTTAGTAAACCTGAAACCAAGCAACACAACCATATTGGTCTGTAACGCAGGAATGGTTTCATGACTGTTTTAATAAAAAGTCTTGACATGTGATCAAGATCTTCTCCCTCATTTCCTGAGAAGGCTTCAAAACAGACATCCTCCCCCCCCCGCCCTGCGTCTCACTCCTATCCCCAAATACTGCTTTTGCAGCGTACTTGGTTGGTGCGCCACGTAAAGACACAAAGGCTTCCAGTCAAAGGGAAGACGAATCTGTGATTCCTCGCTGGTTTATGAAATCCAGCAGAATTTTTATGCTGAAGTCATGAAAACTTGTGAAAAGGCTACAAAGATTAGTTTGATAGCACTGAGATCTAAAACATCAGTGCAGGGAAAAAAAAACCCAAACCCAAATCTTCCGAAAGGCAGTGTATATGTGTAGATTGCTCTGATGGGTGCTCCCAATCCGCACCTAGCATGTCCTTAACTAGAAGGGAACTAAAAATACAATTTCAAACTTATTTCCGCATGCCTTCCAGCACTAGACAGAACTACAGACTTCTTTTCCATCTAGTGTGTTTTTGAGATGTACTTACCTGAGCCAGAGATGCAAACAGCAACACTGAAGTCTGGAAAAAGTAATCACACCCATATTTCATGGCTGCACAACCCACCCTGACAAGTCCATTACGCTGTACTTGAACTTGATTCTATTATAAGCACTAATGACAGCATCGGTAAGGATTTATATGCAGGAATAGTCATGTAATAGAAAAGGACTTTTTTTTTTTTTCCTGTTTCCTAGAAAACCTAGTATATAAAGGAATGAAAGAGTCAAGTTCAGTCCGGCAGCTACCTATACTTATTGTAGAAAGGTTACTCAAGTTCTGCTATGTTTGAGATTAATTTGAACTCATTCTGAGCACTGAGATCCACAAACATGTAAGGAATGGAGTACTTTATTAGAATAAACTAGTTGAGCAGAATGGCCTGAAACACCACAGGGACTGGACATTGCGAGTGGTTTAGCAGACAGAACGGC